CAGAGTCAACAGTAAATGCACAATGTAAGAGAAAGAAAGTATTGAAAAATCTTCTTAGCCTTTTCATTTATTTGGGATATCTAACAAACTACACCAACTCTTAGCATTTTAAAGTCACATCTTATAACAGTAGTTGTTCATAGCTGTGTTTTTTAGCGAGTCTTAAGCCTTTGTTGACCATGTAAGTACTGCATCTCTCCAGCATCTGAAATTAGTAAGGAGTCTATCTTTGGAAATTTAATATTGCTGGTGAAAATTTTCACCAAGATGTTATAAAACACTCTCAATAAATTTAATTGTAATGCTTAAAAGAACAAATAAGGTGTAGCCATGTGGTGAGATAATCTATTAGTGTTACCATTCTGATTCTTTGGACAATAATGATGATTGAAATTTTACTCTAGTAGTGTTTTAAGATACAAGCAATATTTTCAGAATTCTCCTTCCCGGATCATGCTACATATTACAACAAAGCGATTAACATCTTACCTGATGTACATGGCCTCGTACACTAGATACACCAACGGTAGTTTGAAGTATATGCGACAGAGTGATATCAGAGCCTCTACAGTTAGGTACATTCTGTTCTCTTGGATTATGTACCACCTGAGCACAGACACCTGTACTTAACAGTTAAACATAATAACCTAGGAGTAAGTTGTTTAGTTCTGTTTTTGTAACTTGCATATTACAATGTATACAGCTCCTGTTAATGTACGGTAAAAAGATAATTCATTTAAGTTCTTTAAAATTACATGTTGCTTTTGATTAAATATGATTTAAGGCTGTATTTACAGAAATATTGAATACAAGTCTTGATGGACCAATAGGTCCCTTGCTTTCCTTAAATTATATATGTATATATGTATGTATGTGATTATGTATGTATGCATGTATATATGTATGTATGCATGTATATGTGTATGTATGTATGCATCTATTTATGTATGTATGTATGCATGTATATGTGTATGTATGTATGCATGTATATATGTATGTATGTATGCATGTATATATGTATGTATGTATGCATGTATATATGTATGTATGTATGCATGTATATATGTATGTATGTATGCATATATATATGTATGTATGTATGTATGCATGTATATATGTATGTATGCATGTATATATGTATGTATGCATGCATGTATATATGTATGTATGTATGCATGTATATATGTATGTATGCATGCATGTATATATGTATGTATGTATGCATGTATATATGTATGTATGTAGGCAGATTTTGTTAAACAAGACCGATGTCTGTAGGTTTACTTCCTTCTTAGAA